TACCCCGAGGTAGGAGCAGAGGGCCAAGGCCAGGATGTGCCAGCGAGCCATGGTGAGGGCAGCCCTGAGGGGACAGTCCCAGCGGGAGGGCTGTGCTTATATAGCCCAGGGCTGCAGGAGTGTGCCAATGGCACGGGCCAGGCTTGGCTGGGAGCTGCAGCAGGGCACCTCCAGAGCCTCGTCCTTCAGCAGCCTGAGGCCAATCCATGGCTGAGGCAGATGGGCATGGCCGTGTGAGAGCCCTGCAGGTGCTGCTCACGTGGGCTGGAGGCCAAACCTCCTCAGGTATCTTTTYTATTTTCCACATGGCCACCATGCTGGTCAGACTATGCTTCCCAGACTCAGAGGGATTTGGGAATGAAACTTCTCTGTTATTCTTCTTCTTCTCTGGTGTGTTACCAGCTCATTTGGATTCTTGCTTCACTCTTGGGAGCTTGTTGAGCTTCCTAGAGGACTCATTAGCCAGTAATTACGAAAATGCAGACACCYATTTATCCACAGGRTTGGTGCACACTTTCTTCCMGTTCTGTACAGCAGCATCCAGTAGTTCATTTGGGATTTCTTCATCATCCAAGTTCACAGAGATGGCATTGTGTGAGTGACAGGCCCTGCTGAGGCCSATCGTTTTTTCACCAGAAACTTGGGAATTGGTCTATCCCTCTCTAAGGAGCAGGGAAGGGATCAGGTCTGCACTGTGCCTGTGGATCATACAGACATGGGGCTGTCACTGGAACATGTGGAAATGAAGTTTGTGYTCCAGATTTCAGAAGAGAAGGGACTCAGCCGAGTGACCAATGGGTTCATTTTTCTTTGGCCCAACCTCTGTATGAAGGGGCAATGCAAGAGGGAAATGCAGTTAAGGTAATTTCTTTTTTCCTTTAAAAAGTGCYRGTGAAGGCCAACRGTGAGAAAAYGAAAKATGTTTCTTGTGGGAGATCTCCCAGATTGTTCTTCTGGCAAAGCCARTTGGGGCCAGGAGGGCACAGGAACACRTGGCATCGATTCCTGACAGAAAGCCGGGCTGTGAAAGCTGTGCTGGGAGGGGCAGGGCTCTCCTCCACATCCCCAGCTCCCCTCACCTCAAGTGAACTTTTGCTGAGGTGGCCACTGCCAGGCAGTTTCTCCCTGTGCCTCCTCTGTTGTTCCAAATACAAAGGGATAAAACAGAGCAAGGCAGCAGCTGTAGCAGGTGAGGGTCTCCAGCCCATGTCCCCCCTGTTCCTGAGCTCTCCCTTTCCCACGGGGATCCAGCACATGGGACATCTCTGGCACAGCTGAGCCCTGTGTCCCCCACTGCTGTGGGGTCTTTGACAGGTGTCTGTCTGTGTGTCTGTGTGTCCATGTGTCTTTTTGTGTTACAGCTGCTGCTCTCCCTCCTGCTCATCCCAACACAATGGGAACTGGGTGTGTTCCTTCTGTGAGAGCTCTGGGATGGGGTAGAAACAGAACCAGCCCCAAATACCAGGAGCCCCCACAAAGCCTAGAGCCTGGCTTAGAAGATGTGATTAATAACAGAAGAACGATATATTCACTGCTTTCAGCCTGCAGGGTGCAGCAGCCRCACATTTTAATGGGATCAAAGAGCACCAGCTTGGAAAGGACCTTCTTTCATATCTCCCAGAGAAGAGCAGCAGGCAGTGTAGGTGTGTACCCCAAAACTCTGCTCACTCTGGGCACAGTTTATCCATTCCCATGTGTGTCCACAGGTCCTGAGCTCCTCTTCCTTTTGTGAATATTTTCTGTGTGGATTTAATCCAGTGGAAGGCTGCACCTCTCTTACAGATACTGGAGGGCTTGCTGGGCTGAGACGTTACCCAAACATGACATGAGCTCTCTTATTTTCCTCAAGATTTCATGGCATGCTTGAAACTCTAGGCTCTGAATGGAGTGGAATGACATTAGAGGAAATACTACATCTCCTAGCTAAGGTCTGGCTGGAGTTTCTTTTTTACTTTCTATTCTTTAGAGCTGTTACACTGATCCTGTGCTTCACCTCAAGAGTGGCTGCAGCAGGAAAGGGCTATGATATAAATATATGATTCAGTGGCCAAAGCTGTCAGGAGTTAAAAAATTACTTGTAACTACCCTCTGCTATGCCTTAGATACCAAATGATTTGCAKGTCCTTTTTTCCAGGAACAGTGATATTCAAAGTGCCTGGCAAGGGGCTTCCAGATTACTGAAAGTTTTGGTTACAGAAAGCAGAAATTCCTTCTGAGAATAGTTTGCTCAGTGGAACTCTGTTCCAGTGTAAACCAGAATGGACTGTTCAGTTCTCATCCTTACCAGTAAAAATCCCTATCAGCCCTGTGCCATGTCTTGATAGTAGAGGGTAGAATATGCTTCATTTCCTTCCACACCGTGTTCTCTTTTACTCTTAGCAATGTTTCACAATGTAAAGTATTCAAACTACAACACTTTTTATCACATTATTATTGCTTCCCTTAAAAAAAACCCCTGTCTTTACTGGGCATTTTCATCCTTGGCTCGTGCAGTTTCACCAACCTTTATCTCCCTCCTTCGAGCCGCAGCTTTTCCCCGCTCATCTTTGTAATCTGACATTGTGATTTGTTCACTCGTGTGCTTGTTTTTCTCCTCGAAGAAGATTTGCTGAATCATTGGGGAGGAGGCAGGAGCTGTAGGGGCAGCTGGTGGCCAGTGATAAAACCACAGCCACATCCAGCCTTCAGGGTTTGCAGGGGACAGCCCTTCAGCTGAAGGCCACAGTCACATTCCCTCCCGAGCTAAGATTGCTGGGGACTTTGGGATTGAGGAAGTCAGGATGAGGAGGTGGCACCACCAAAATAGGAATTATTGCCCCTGATAACCACAGAGTTTTTGTTGTATCTTCTGCAAAATTAATAACAATGCTGTGAGAAAACTCACGGGCTGGGGGTTGAATCCTCAACCCGGCTGCCTGGTGGATGTTGTGTCCTTTTGAAATCCTCAGGCACTGTGAGCTCTTCAARTGCAAAGGATCATCAATCTTGCTGAGTTCTCCACTGCCCCTGTTGTGGCACCGTGCAGCAGGCATGGGGACATGGCTCTCTGCCTTTCCAGCTGTTTCCCTGCATTCCAGGTAACATGAGAAACCTCAGCTGTCTCATGTACACTCACTCTGAAACACAAGGTCAGCTCTGCCTTTAAGACACCAGAAAATRAGTTTGTTTTATGTCATAAGTATCATACAGAATTGAGAAATAAAATCTTACCAATAGTACACGACCCTTTTCCTAAGAAAAGAGTTTTAACGTGGGATACTCTCCTAAGTTTTAATTCTTCAAGGAGGTAAGACAAAAACTTGGTTAACAAACAAGGCTGCAAGTCCGGCTCCCCTGAGTTCCGTTTCTAGTTGTGATACTCACATTTGGGCAAATATTTTAAGGTGAGTATCTGCAGGTTGGCAGATCTCAATGCAGAGACCTTGCTTTGATGCTTTATGGGGTTTTCATTTGGGGTTTTTCACAATGCCACTCCAGTGTACTGCTGTGCATGTGTAGGAATTCTATCCTGCTCTTATCTGCAGATCTTGAAGCTGCYTCAGGCTGGACCTAAATAAGGAGCTGAGGCAGGGATGTCTGACTGACACMCTGGTTCACCATGCCCACCCTCTCAGGATGGGGCCCTCTCAGGAACAGGAATGCCCTGTCATCTCCAACTTCCCCTTCCTCAGCTGAGACAGGAGATAATTTCTATTTTATAAAGAGAAAAAGCCAGTGGACTTGACCACTGCTAAAAATCCCACAAAGCGCCTAATATGGAAGAGCCTGGGATGTAAGATAAAGTGCCATTGCTTTAAAATTATTCAAGAGGAAGGCAGAATCAATGGGGATGGGTTTTTAGACCCTTTGCTCTTCGTGAGGAAGCCTTGAACCTCAGAATTGTCTTGGCTGGTGGTGAATGTGGCTGCTGTACTCAGAACTCAGTGAGGAGTCCTCGATGTGCACAGCAGTGAAGTGGCTCAGAGGTTGCTGAGGACCTGGAGAATTGTAGATTGTGGGTTGGAGCAGAATCAGCTGTGAGAAACTCAGCCTGAGAGTGGTGCAGAAACCACAGGGCTGTGACTCAGCTCGTGGAACTCGAGATGCCGACAGATACTGGGCTGCCTCTCTTAGGGAGAGAAGTATGTGCACACAGGGCACTGCAGCCCTGGTTTACATACGTGCTTTAGGTGCAGCTAAATTGCTTCCTAATATGTTTCTTATTGAAATGGGAGCTTTGAGTCACCAGCTCACAGATCTCCTGATCTGCTGAAGGTTTTCTGCCTTGTATCCTACAGGGAGCCTGGGACAGGGTTGAACACAGGGATGAGCACATCCCCCAGCACAGGGACAGGTTTGCATCTCTCACCAAAATCCCCAGGTACAGGCAGGACCCAAGACACCAGGTTGAACCAAAGGTGCTGGGATGCAGGGTGAGGGCTGTCCTTGTGGTCTGGATCAGCAGTGACCCATAACAGTGTGGTCTGGCTGGCTAAAGAACACATCAAAGCTGCTGGTGTGACACGGGTTCATCCTGCACAGCCCATCCTCAGCAGGGAGCCGAGCAGAGRATGTGCCTGCAGGGATGTGCTGCTCCTTTCCCCTCCCTGCCATGGCTGGGGTGTACAGACAGGAGCTTGCACGGGTCCAGGGGAGCTCAGGGACACACAGGAGGGTGTCCCTGGTACAATCTTCAGCTGTACTGATTTGGTTATTGCTGCCCTAGGAGAAGGTGTGAAGAGGGATTTGCTGGCTCATGCTTTTGCAGCTCAGATGGGAATGGTCTGGTTCTTCCTCTTTCTTAAGGGTTTTTTTTCTATTTTTCAGACAGAGCAATTATCTGTACACCAAACCTCAGTGAYTGGGGCAGCTCTGAAGTGATGGATCCCTCTCCCAAAGCTCAGGAAAGGCAGCACAGGGGGAGAAGTGCTGCTCTGGRCACTCAACAGGAGCAGCTTGCTCAGTAAGAATCAGAATTGTTTGCTGTAAATCTGACTCTCCCACTGTCAATGCCATGAGGAAACCTTCCCTGTGCACCCCTTCAGGCCCCCGTGGTCACATTTGCAGCTCCC